ATATAAATTCATATAAATTAAATAAATATAAATCTCACAGGTCGGTTCCCACAGCTGTTGTGTGGTGCCCATATCTTAAGAAGCACATCAACAAACTGGAAAAGGTGCAAAGACATGCTACTAAGTGGCTCCCAGAACTGAAGGGCAAGAGCTACGAGGAGAGGTTAGAAGCATTAAATATGCCAAAACTAGAAGACAGAAGAAAAAGAGGTGATATGATCACTACATACAAAATAGTTACAGGAATTGATAAAATCGACAGGGAAGACTTCCTGAGACCTGGAATTTCAAGAACAAGAGGTCATAGATTTAAACTAGCTAAACACAGATGCCGAAGAAATATAAGAAAATTCACCTTCGCAAATAGAGTGGTAGACGGTTGGAACAAGTTAAGTGAGAAGGTGGTGGAGGCCAAGACCGTCAGTAGTTTCAAAGCGTTATATGACAAAGAGTGCTGGGAAGACGGGACACCACGAGCGTAGCTCTCATCCTGTAACTACACTTAGGTAATTACACTTAGGAAATTACACACAGGGGGGCCTCGTAGCCTGGTGGATAGCGCGCAGGACTCGTAATTCTGTGGTACGGGTTCGATTCCCGCACGAGGCAGAAACAAATGGGCAAAGTTTCTTTCACCCTAAGTGCCCCTGTTACCTAGCAGTAAATAGGTACCTGGGAGTTAGTCAGCTGTCACGGGCTGCTTCCTGGGGTGTGTGTGTGTGTGTGTGGTGTGGAAAAAAAAAAAAAAAAAAAAAAAAAAAAAAAAAGTAGTTAGTAAACAGTTGATTGACAGTTGAGAGGCGGGCCGAAAGAGCAAAGCTCAACCCCCGCAAAAACACAACTAGTAAACACAACTAGTAAACACAGGCGGGACCAAAGAGCCAGAGCTCAACCCCCGCAAGCACAATTAGGTGAGTACACACACACACACACACACACACACACACACACACACACACACACACACACACACACACACACACACACACACACACACGGTTTTCAATCTGGAAGATCCTGTGTATCGAATTTACTCAGTTTCTATGATCGAGCCACAGAGATATTACAGGAAAGAGATGGTTGGGTTGACTGCATCTATCTGGACCTAAAAAAGGCTTTCGACAGAGTTCCACATAAGAGGTTGTTCTGGAAACTGGAAAATATTGGAGGGGTGACAGGTAAGCTTCTATCATGGATGAAAAATTTTCTGACTGATAGAAAAATGAGGGCAGTAATCAGAGGCAATGTATCGGAATGGAGAAATGTCACAAGTGGAGTACCACAGGGTTCAGTTCTTGCACCAGTGATGTTTATTGTGTACATAAATGATCTACCAGTTGGTATACAGAATTATATGAACATGTTTGCTGATGATGCTAAGATAATAGGAAGGATAAGAAATTTAGATGATTGTCATGCCCTTCAAGAAGACCTGGACAAAATAAGTATATGGAGCACCACCTGGCAAATGGAATTTAATGTAAATAAGTGTCATGTTATGGAATGTGGAATAGGAGAACATAGACCCCATACAACCTATACAGTATATTATGTGAGAAATCTTTAAAGAATTCTGATAAAGAAAGAGATCTAGGGGTGGTTCTAGATAGAAAACTATCACCTGAGGACCACATAAAGAATATTGTGCAAGGAGCCTATGCGATGCTTTCTAACTTCAGAATTGCATTTAAATACATGGATGGCGATATACTAAAGAAATTGTTCATGAGTTTTGTTAGGTCAAAGCTAGAATATGCAGCTGTTGTGTGGTGCCCATATCTTAAGAAGCACATCAACAAACTGGAAAAGGTGCAAAGACATGCTACGAAGTGGCTCCCAGAACTGAAGGGCAAGAGCTACGAGGAGAGGTTGGAAGCATTAAACATGCCAAAACTAGAAGACAGAAGAAAAAGAGGTGATATGATCACTACATACAAAATAGTAAAAGGAATTGATAAAATCGACAGGGAAGATTTCCTGAGACCTGGAACTTCAAGAACAAGAGGTCATAGATTTAAACTAGCTAAACACAGATGCCGAAGAAATATAAGAAAATTCACCTTCGCAAACAGAGTGGTAGACGGTTGGAACAAGTTAAGTGAGAAGGTGGTGGAGACCAAGACCGTCAGTAGTTTCAAAGCGTTATATGACAAAGAGTGCTGGGAAGACGGGACACCACGAGCGTAGCTCTCATCCTGTAACTACACTTAGGTAATTACACTTAGGTAATTACACACACACGAGGAGAGGTTAGAAGCATTAAATATGCCAAAACTAGAAGACAGAAGAAAAAGAGGTGATATGATTACTACGTACAAAATAGTAACAGGAATTGATAAAATCGACAGGGAAGACTTCCTGAGACCTGGAACTTCAAGAACAAGAGGTCATAGATTTAAACTAGCTAAACACAGATGCCGAAGAAATATAAGAAAATTCACCTTCGCAAATAGAGTGGTAGACGGTTGGAACAAGTTAAGTGAGAAGGTGGTGGAGGCCAAGACCGTCAGTAGTTTCAAAGCGTTATATGACAAAGAGTGCTGGGAAGACGGGACACCACGAGCGTAGCTCTCATCCTGTAACTACACTTAGGTAATTACACACCCCACACCCCCACACCCACCCACCCACCCACCCCTACCTACCTACCTACCTACCTATAAAAAGCTCATGCCACTATCTGGAAATATATTAGCTTAATTGTATTCTTTTGGCCTTGAAGCTTGTTCTGTTTTTACAAGACCATAACTGTCAATATTGCCTTTGTTACTGTACTTAGTCCCTACATACCTTGACCATTGCCGCTACTGAAAGTTCTGACTCGCTCATGTTTGTAATCTTTTATTGCAAGAATTGCATGTGTGCAAGTTTTCTTGAACATCTGTAGTGTTCCTCCTGGTATTGTTTCCTATCTTACCCCCCTCCCCCTTTCTCTCCTTCACCCCACAACTTGTTACATTTTTACATTTTGTAAAATTATAAACAAAGTGAAGGCTTATTACTCACTACTGTTGTGAAATGCCTTTCCCTTCAACATTTTCACTTCCATTCATGTGCTACTGCTCTGTTTACAGATGAGTTGAAGTACGCTTGATGGCACTGGTTACTGATCAAACCTCTTCCCCCATAAATGATAACCTTTTGACAGGTTAAAGCAATTTTTTTATGCCATAATACTATATGTCATGCTCCAGTGTTCATTTGTTGATGTAGTTGACTTGCAGTGGTGCCATGGCCCTGGAATCTTTAACCCATTACATCCCATGACAATCAAAATACAACAGTGGCTGTTCATTTTTAGCAAATACAGTACAAGATACTAAATTTTTGCTAGGGATCCCAGTCGTATTTTTGTTACTGCTGCTAAGTATGCCATTTGTACCTGTCCCATCTCCCAGAGCTAATCCCTTTCGCTGATTTTTATCACCATTCATAAGTCAGTTTCCAACTGCTGGAGAGAGAAAGATGGTTAGCTACTGGAAATAATAAATTATTTTCTTTGCATCATATGTCCCTTGATATCCTTCTCGGTGACAAACTCGTGTGACACCGCTGGTCTTTCATTAGCATCGTGAATTATATCTAGGACTGCTTGGACGCAATAACCTACAATGCGATGCTATACTGTAGGTATTCTTGCTTAGTGCTCTTGACAGTTATATAATGGGAGCCAGAATGATTACACAAGAGTAAGAGAGAACTAATTTGAAAACAGCAGCAAGGCAAAGAATCAACCAATGATTTTGCATTAGCAGCAATGGAAGAAAAAATATTAAGAAGTCACATGGTCAGCCTAAGGTGATAAAAGGCTCAATGTGAGATTGACCAGACCACACACTAGGAGGTGAAGGGATGACGACGTTTCGGTCCGTCCTGGACCATTCTCAAGTCGAGTGTGAGAATTCTCAAAATCGACTTGAGAATGGTCCAGGACGGACCGAAACGTCGTCGTCCCTTCACCTTCTAGTGTGTAGTCTGGTCAAACTACTTCAGCCACGTTATTGTGACTCATCGCCTGCACAAGGCTCAATGTGATTTACAAAATAGGATCAATTCGAGGAATAGCAGAAATACTCCTGTCAGCATTGGAGTTACTGAAGAGAAAGTAAAAAGACCCCTGGCAGAGCTAAGGCATTGTGACCACACTGTACACCTTCATGTCTATACTGTATTCTTAAAACTAGCTTCTCTAACAATTAGAGACTGGAAAAATTAAAATGTAATACCAATTTTCAAGAAAGTATACAGTCAGAAAGCTGTAAACTACTGGCAGGTCTTTGTTAACATTAATCCTATGCAAAGTGTTAGAGAAAAGAATCTAGGCACGACTGATGGAGCATTTGGATAGGGAAAATAATAATATAGATTTAATGGGATTATCATATGTCAGAACTTGGTATGTAGTGAGTTGTCAGGTTACCATGATTCTGTAGGACAGAGAAATCTTTGTTGATTGTATCTTTCTTGACAACTAAACAGCTTTTGATAGTTCTTCACAAAAGATTAGTGCTGAAGGTGTAGAAGTTGGCTGATAATGAAAGATAGTCAACTGGGTAAGAATATGTAACAAACCAGAAAGAAGGCAACACTCGGAGACATTGAACTTTGAGAGCTGTAGCAAGCTAGATTGTACTGTAATAGTTTCCATTAAAAGTCAACCAGAAGAGGTGATATCATACAAATAAGCATATGCAAGCTACTTACAGGTAAGGATCATTTTGCTCATGTAATAAATTTCAAGCAATCTTCTCAAGTGGGGGATTTTGTAGATGTGAGTGCAGTGTGTATGTGCAAACACTGTAGAACTAATGAGCACATACTGGAGAATTCTGTAGAGGAAGACCTTGAGAGACTGCATGAGTGGGGATAATGGAAGATGAGAAGTGGGGGCGAAGACTCGACGCTACCCTGTAAGTCACTCTCGGATCATTTCCTTGACTGAATGTCCTTGTGTGTTTGTGCTGTGGATAATGTTAAAAATTGTTTGTCTTCTTTTGTAGATTTAATGACAAGAACTCTCTTGATTTTGAGTATGAAATGCGCTGGAATCGCCTCTTTGAAATGTATAAGAAGAGGAAAATGATGCTGGAGTCTGACCTTCAAACAGAGGTTGAGCAGATGGAGAGAAAGCTAGCTATGGTCCGTCAGGAATATGAAGCAGAAAAGCTTAAAAGAGGTGAGTGATCATTATTTTCTATAAATTCATACAGAGTTTGGGTAAAATAGCAAAAAATTCTAGATACTATACTGTAGTTATATAGTTTGATGGTGGTAGGATGAGGAAATGGTATTCCCTAAACGCTGCTCTGCTTGGTACCCAATGATTTATTGATGACCTTCCTCTTGGATATAACTCGTTTAAATATTGTTATCTATTCATCACTTGGCTTAAAATTGCTTATCCCTAAGCTACTTCCCATATCCACTGTCCAGTGCTGTGCACACCATTGATAAATAGCCTCATCTAACTGTGGGTAATGTGCAGACTTGAGCATTTTCCAATTAGAGTATCTACCTTGAGGTTACCTTGAGGTGCTTCCGGGGCCTAGCGCCCCCACGGCCCGGTCGTCGACCAGGCCTCCTGGTTGACAACCGATGATCTACTAGTGCTTGTCCCTCACTCTCACTAGCAGTCATATTTAACATGTATTTCTCTTCTTTTCTGAGTATTAGATACAGTGCTTGTACTTATCCCCCCCCCCCTCCCCAAATTGCCACACTCACAGCAGCGTGGCTATTTCTGGGTATTTCAAACCAGGTTGTTCGATGGACATTCCGTTGTCTTCACTTCAGGCCTTGCACAGCTTGGTCTTCTGCATGCTTGATTGGCACGAGGTGTTGAACATGTTTCAGGTGTTTTGGGGGATTCGTTTTTGAACCCATTTGTGCCTGTGCATCCTTCCTTGGGTTGTGGATGTTCTCCAACTTTATGTGAACATTCCCCAGTTGTTGGTAACAGTTGTGCTCACCTATTTGTGCTTGCGGGGGTTGAGCTCTGGCTCTTCGGTCCTGTATGTCATGTATTTTCTAAGCGCTTTGCGCTTCATTCTTCATGGCCGACATGGTCTGTCTCCCGTTGTGACAGATGTCCTGTGTGCCCATCAGCAATTGGGCTGTGTCATGTATTTACTCAGTTAATTTGCGCTTCATTCTTCATAGCTGACACGGTCTGCCTCCCTTCTTCCCCAAACAAGGGGGGGCGGGGGGAGATAAGACGAACTAGCTCATGCTAGTTTTTACAAATTTTCAGTAGTTTTCTTGTCATAGCTGGGGGAGTTTGTTTGGACGTTTTTGAGGCAGAGGTCTTATTTCAACCATGCATTGGTTTGTTTTGCTTTGTTTCACTGACTTTTTAGGTGCTTCCTTGGTGGTGGCAGATATGAATTTCTTTGAATGTGTAGTGATTATATAGCCACCACTCCCTGCACCTCTCTGAGGCGGCCAGGTTCTGGCACATGGGCCCCAGTAGGCTAGTAAGAACCCCACAACTGATGGCACCTGGTAGTATGGCATTATATCAGTGTGATAACTTCAGGGAACCTCCAGGGCTCACCCAGAAATTTGGGTTTTATTATATTCATGCTGGTTTTTGCTGGGATCACTCATCTAACCCTTTTGGTCATATTAAATAACTCCTGACTACAGGTATGACTGCTTCCAAAGTATATACAGTACACATAGCATACAAAGTATATACAGTACACATAGCATACAAAGTATATACAGTACACATAGCATACAAAGTATATACAGTACACATAGCATACAAAGTATATACAGTACACATAGCATACAAAGTATATACAGTACACATAGCATACAAAGTATATACAGTACACATAGCATACAAAACATTGATTTAATCATTTTTACAGATTCAAAGAATCCAAGTCTTGTCAAATTGATTTGTGTATAAAAATTATATGTGAGTTGTGGCTCTTATTGCATTTGAAAGCAGCCATTATTGTTGAGTCCTGCTTCATTGCGTAACAAATATAATTTGCTGTAGTATTTCCGTTTGTAATAAATTTAATTCTTCCAGATTTAGATTTTACAATGAGGTTCTTAAAAATAAAAATTTAAGAACATTCAATTTAATCAATTGAGTATCGTGTATCCAGGGATGCATCCCGCTGCATCAATTGGGATCGTATTGTGCTGTATATTAATAAATGATGGTCATAAACTAAGCGTTTCTTCTAGAGTTTGTTTATTTATTCATTTATTTTTTCAGGAATGATGGGACGTGGCGGTTCATCATCGAAAGGAAGAGACATGTTTGGAGCCTTCTTTAATGGAATGGTAAAAATTGAATGTGAAATTTTTCAGAGATGTTGTACCTTATCCCTAGTAGAGGGAATGCTCTTATTATTTTTTTCCTAGCCTTCAGGGGCCAGATTCACGAAGCAGTTACACAAATACTTACAAACCTGTACATCTTTTCTCAATCTTTGGTGGCTTTGTTGACAATTATTAAACAGTTAATGAGCCCCGAAGCACCAGGAGGCTGTTTATAACAATAACAACAGTTGATTGGCAAGTTTTCATGCTTGTAAACTGTTTAATAAATGTAACCAAAGCCGTCAAAGATTGAGGAAAGATGTACACGTTCGTAAGTGCTTGCGTAAGTACTTTCGTGAATCCGGCTCCTTGTTTACAAATGATATTTTTATATTTTTATTTGGATACATTTTAAACTTGCCCACATCTGTATGTTTACATTACTGAACTTCCTATTCAAATGTGGCAGTGTAGCATTCTGTTGGCCATTTTGGGAAGGATGGGTCTGAAAAGAGAGAGAGAGATCAGATGTCTTATAAATAACTAAAGAATATTTTGTGAAATAAAATTGGTAATACAACAAGAAGTTTGATGGAAGATTCTAAGTGATCACCATTTTTAGAATTTCTATATTTGCACTTTATGAAGTGGAAAAATAATCTGGAAAAAGTAGTTTCTCGACAAGACTAGTTCTGTACTGAAATGAACCCTTACTCTTCCGCTATTGTTAACTTTACACTGTGCCAATCATGTTAACCCTTATACTGCTCCAATCTTGTTAACTCACACTGCCCCAATTTTCTTAACCCTTGCACTGCTCCATTCTTGTTAATTAACCCTTTCTCTAGCCCATTAGCTTTGATTTCCTCTAGTTCTCCAATCATCATATTATTTGTTAATTAATTTTAATCATTCATACCTCGATGTAGTACATCGAATAGCTGAGCTGATTAGGGGCTAAGAGGACTAAATTTGACAACCCTAGCGAGGAGTTACCTTGGAGCATTACCGGGGCTTAGCGTCCCTGCGGCCCGGTCGCCTAGCGAGGAGAATGAGCAGAGAAAATATGTTCACTAAATATTGAGGTTATCTTGAGATGATTTCGGGGCTTTAGTGTCCCCGCGGCCCAGTCCTCGACCAGGCCTCCACCCCCAGGAAGCAGCTCGTGACAGCTGAATAACTCCCAGGTACCTATTTACTGCTAGGTAACAGGGGCATCAGGGTGAAAGAAACTGCCCATTGTTTCTCGCCATCGCCCGGGATTGAACCCAGGACCACAGGATCATGCATCCAGTGTTCTGTCTGCTCAGCCACCGGCGAGGTGAGGAAACACTGTTAACAAGGAGACACGGATTTAGCTGTAAGACAAGAGAATGTCAGTGGGAGTTGGAAATGCAGTCACGTCAAAGAAACAAAAGGAAATACTTGTATTCTTTAATTAATCGGTGGTCAACAAATGGAATGTTTTGATGGTAGTCGTCATACAAATTTTACACTCCATCCATAACTTCCTTATCCACTCCCCACCATTATTCACCCCTATGCAGTTACTTACTAGTTACACATATTGAGACTGGGGATGCCTTCCTTCATCAACTGCAGTTTAAATTTTTTTTTAGTTTATACCTGATTTTAATTTCTTAAGACTGGTCATATATAGGCACTAGGACAGCAATATAATTTATATTTTGTCAGGCAGCCAGAGTGTGTATGTATATATATATATATATATATATATAATATGTAAGGGTTATATCAAGGCCTCCCCACAAGGTTAAACTATTGACCATTCTCAGGAAGCAACCCCACAACAAGCTGACTAACTCCTAAGTACCTATTTACTGCTAGGTGAAGAGGGGACAGTAGATGATGGGAAGCACACCCACCCAATTCTGTCCCGGGATTCGATCCCAGAATTCCAGATTATGAATCGAGAACAAACTCGACTTTACAACCAAGACCCTAAATGTACTAAATATGTTGGCACTTCCATTGTTCCTTGGATGATGATTAGGAAAAGGACAGGGATTATGTACAGTATTTTTTAATGCTCATTTAAACAATTGTGTGTGTGCTGTGGTATATATTGGGGTGGGAAACGTGGGATACTGTACATTAATTTTCACGTTCATATGATAGAACTTCTCTAGTTCTTTGCTTACTATTAGATATTAGCTTAACTTTTTTACAGAACCTTGCTAATGCCGTCATAATCAGTTCATTGCTTAGCTAATCCATGAGATTTTTTGAATTCATTTGTGGGTTTTGTTTAATGTTAGATAATTGTCAGGGCATGCAAGGTGGTCGGAGTGAGCGGCGCAATCAGGCCGGAGACCGTGACCAGAGACTCAAGGAATTGTGGTTTCAGATGGAAGAAGATCGGCTACAGTCTCCAAGGAGCAGCTTTCAACGAGGTAGAGGCGATACACCATTTCAGCAAGGAATAAAAAGAAGTACAGGGGGAAGTGGAACATTTCTTGAAATGAAGCGACAGCGGTATTGAGATAATTAATTCCTGCATTTTTTCACTCCATACTCTTGGTGTCTGCCATGTACAGAATTTTTGGCATGCTTTTGATGATGTTCAAAATCTTGTCACAGTAATTATCTAATACTGAATACTGTAAAATTAATGTTAATGCAGAAGACATTTGTAGCCTTTCTGGAAATTGTAATGTGGTATTTTGTATTTTTTTTTGTTTTCCTAGAGAGACAATATAGATAAGTTTCCTTTGAGTGGATGACTTGTGTTATTGTAACCTGTTAGCACCAGTCACATGTTTGCCCGCTTTTGTATACTAAGTTTACTTTTTCAGCAATACTGTATGTGATTCAGTACAAAAAAAATCTTAAAAGAAGACTTTTCTTATTATTGATATAATCCTAGATGTGCATTTGAGTCATCTTGTATGACTCATTACTCTTGAATGGTGGACTCTTGGTAACAAAAAGTATGTAAGAAGAATCAATACATGCAAATATAAATTAAAGAAGTACTATGTTTTCAACTTTTTAGCATTACTCGGGAGTGTATATTGTTTGCTTGAGCTCTGCATCGCTGCCTTCACTGGTATGTGTTCTGAAAATGGGGTCTCGCATTTATATTTAACTTTCAAAGAACGGAAAACTGTTGCGTGGCAGAATACGCCATCGTTATGACTGCATGCGATCTGCAGTTTTAAGTGAAACCAAATATAGCTCTTGGTCTGTTTAGGGTATTTATTGCTGCTGGAACTGTTAAGCGAAGGATTCTTTTATGTAGCCTTACGGTAAACTGTTTATAATTGTCGCAAATAAAATTGCTCTTCCTTATCCTGGGAATATCTAGCAACTGCTGTAAAGAATTGTTTGGAGTATTTCAAGTGATGTAAAGTCACTTGAAATACTAACGCTGGTATAACATATCCACTATGTTATCGTGTGGATATGTTATGGCAGTTGACCAATCCACACACTAGAAAATGAAGGGACGATGACGTTTCGGTCCGACCTGGATCATTCTCAAGTCGATTCAGATTTGTAGTCCTGAGGTTCTGAGTTTGAGATCTGGTGGAGGCAAAAACAAATGGGCAGCGTTTCTTTCAACCTGATGGCCCTGTTCACCTAGCAGTAAATAAGTACCTGGTAGTTAGACAGCTGCTTCCTGGGGGGGGGGGAGTGTTTACAACTATTAAACAGTTAATGAGCTCCAAAGCACCAGGAGGCTGTTTATAACAATAACAACAGTTGATTGGCAAGTTTTCATGCTTGTAAACTGTTTAATAAATGTAACTAAAGCCATCAAAGATTGAGGAAATATGTACATGTTTGTAAGTGCTTGTGTAACTGCTTTGTGAATCTGGCCCCAGGTTGGTGCCTGCTCTCACTCTTGCCGGTGTTACTCTCCTACACCAATGTAGCTCGTGCTTCACCTAATACATATACACTGTATACTAAAGTGAGTATGCTTCGTATATCACACAAACTTTTTATATAATTTGCATACGAAAGTCAAACTTTTATATACAGTACTTTGTATGCACAAGTTATCTGTTACGTTAATGTTCTTATGTTAGTATGTATGAATTATGATAATAATATAATGTTTATTTAGGAAAAAGTACACACATACAAAATGTATGTACTATATAAGAATGTTGGATGTCTAGAGCTAATATATACTACTTTATGTCTAAATACACTAATATGCACAGCATTTTGGGCAAGATGTGGAAAAAAATATACTTAACAACTCAGACTTTAAAATAACAAAGATCAAAAGCCAAATGAACTGAAGTAGAAAAATTAAAAAATGACAATAATTACATGTATTAAGGAACAGCTGAAATTACAACAGAACAGCAGATAGTAATTTGAACTAAGTAAACAGGAGGAATAAAAAAAAATATTTCTTATACTGCAGATCTCTGCAGTTTTACAAGTTAAGTCAATAACGTACACTAGTACGTTAGTACACTAGGGAGCCGAGCGGACAGCACGCTGGACTTGTGATCCTGTGGTCCCGGGTTCGATCTCGGGCGCCGGCGAGAAACAATGGGCAGAGTTTCTTTCACCCTATGCCCCTGTTACCTAGCAGTAAAATAGGTACCTGGGTGTTAGTCAGCTGTCACAGGCTGCTTCCTGGGGGTGGAGGCCTGGTTGAGGACCGGGCCGCGGGGTCGCTAAAGCCCCGAAATCATCTCAAGATAACCTCAAGATAGTAGCAAGACATAGATAGGTTGACATTTAGGAGGTAAGGTAGGTTACATGGAGTTGATTAGCTAGTACTTAGCTGCTCTCTTAAACTGATTGAGTAACCCGTCCTCAGATCAAGTCCATTCTATCCAGCGGTCGACCCCAAAGATGCATTCATCAATTTTAAGATGCTGTTCATTCAAAATAGAACCTTTCTGAAATATAAATTAATATTATACATAAGGGTACCACCACTGGTGCAATGGAAGGGACCCACATCCTCGAAGAAGAAAATAGTATTTAGAGAAGACCTTGTGGATTCTCACTGAAAACTTTAATCTTTTCTTCTCCTACCACCCTTATTATTTTTTTTATTTTTTTTTATTTAGTTTTATTGCATTGCTACAGTTTACAGAGAACACCCACTTATATAACAATATAACTATCAGTGTTTGAAGACCTCATTCAGCTCTTCGGAGGTTGGGTGCGTACCCAAGATACAGCATGCATTTCCCCTCTGAACTGAACTTTCCCCTCACCCACCTCCCTTAGGAACTAAAGTGCACATTTACCCCAAGCGCCCAGAGTCTCAAAGCCTATTGGCACGAACCTGTAACAACGTTCTAGGTCCCTGTACTTGGTTTTCTGGGTCTCCCTGAAGGTGGCCGCCCCACCTCCCTCAGCTGTGCTGTAAGGTAGATAGGTATCAGCCAATGTAGACGCACACGTGTAGTCCCACACGACCTGTTTACCTTTCCTCCACGGCTGCAGGGTGACTCCATCTGGGCATTTTTGGCTGTTGTCAGGTCTGCACAACTGAGGTTCCCTTTGTGCTGGACACCCAGCTGTAGCCAAACTTCTCTTGATGATGTTACTGTATTGACTTTTTCATGTCTGGCAATTTTTCCCTGTGGCCGAGTGATTTTTTTGGCAATAATAATTAATTAATATCATTATATATATTGGCATATTGTACATATTTAGGCACTGGTTAGGTTAGGTGTTTAGGTTGTGTTGGTGATTATTTGTATTTGTAGTACGTGGGTGAAGCATTTACAGTGTTGTAGTTCGAACACAAGTCATCAGTGAAGTACTTGTTGCGGAAGTGTTGAGACATCATCAGTTGTGAGCCGTGTAAACTGTTTTTCAATCATAAACGGGGTTTGGCCTTTGTTTAGAGGATGGGCTGGGTTGAGAGAGGGACACACTTTGACGTAATTGGGAAGGGTCTGTCTGTGTGTATGTGAGATTACCTAAGTATAGTTACAGGATGAGCTATGCTCGTGGTGTACCGTCTTCCCAGTACTCTTTGTCGCATAACGCTATTACTCCTTTTTACTTAATGATGTAATATTATTACATCATTACTCCTTTTAAGTGACTTTTAACTTGACATTAAGTATGGAATGTTTCTATTACTAATACCCAGGGCAGTATTTTAGCATGCGGTTCTTCACGTTCTCATAATTAAGAGAACTTCACAAGCTGGCCAACCAATTCATAAAGATTGTCTCACTCACACTCCTTGTATTGATCTTCATCTTTGCATTTCTTTAGTTTACCTTGACAACTTCATTATAGTGAGCATTTTCCAAGTGTTGCAATTATATCCCCCCCCCCCCCCCCCCCCCCCCCCCCGTTGAGATGATTTCGGGGCTTTAGTGTTCCCGCGGCCCGGTCCTCGACCAGGCCTCCACCCCCAGGAAGCAGCCCGTGACAGTTGACTAACACCCAGGTACCTATTTTACTGTTAGGTAACAGGGGCATAGGGTGAAAGAAACTCTGCCCATTGTTTCTCGCCGGCGCTCGGGATCGAACCCAGGACCACAGGATCACAAGTCCAGCGTGCTGTCCGCTCGGTCGACCGGCTCCCATTGATGGCAGTTTGACAACAGCAGGAAACTTTGTTGTTTTCACATCTTCTTGTTGCTCGACCTGGTCTCAGAAGCCGTACTGTTTCTGACCTCTGCTTCATCCCAAGCTCACAGACTCGCTAATTTTGTTAATGATTGCCAGTGCCGTGACCTTCATGGTTTTTCATTAAGGTCATTAATTAAAAAGTTTGTGGGGGAAAACTTATTCGTGATGCATCGTGTTGCAATCTTTGTGTAATTTAGGTTGTGTTGATCTGTCAGCTGGAGCAGCTTGGGGCCTGATGGCTGAGCAGACAGCGTTTGGGATTCGTATTCCTAAGGTTCTGGGCTCAAATGTGCAGTTTCTTTCACCCTGATGCCCCTGTTCACCTAGAAGTAAATAGGTACCTGGGAGTTAGTCAGCTGCTATGGGCTGTTTCCTGGGGGTGTATAACAAAAAGCCTGGTCGAGGACCGGGCCGCGGGGACGCTAAGCCCTGAAATCATCTCAGGATAACCTCCCCCCAATAAAGGAGGGAGGTTATCTTGAGATGATTTCATGCTTTAGTGTCCCCGCGGCCCGGTCCTCGACCAGGCCTCCACCCCCAGGAAGCAGCCCGTGACAGCTGACTAACTCTCAGGTACCTATTTACTGCTAGGTAACAGGGGCATTCAGGGTGAAAGAAACTTTGCCCATTTGTTTCTGCCTCGTGCGGGAATCGAACCCGCGCCACAGAATTACGAGTCCTGCGCGCTATCCACCAGGCTACGAGGCTCCCCTCCCTACGAGGGGAGGGAGTAGGATCCTATTTCTTTCTCTCTTGTCTCTCCCTCCCTCCAATGCTTGACCCTTACCACTAATTCTCACCTCCATGACAACTTCCTTATCCAAAAAATCCAAGCCGATTCATTCCTTTTGCACTTTTGTACACAACTTTTTGTTTTCTTTACTCCTTCAATGGGTTCTTTCCTCTTACTGACTAAACCTCAGACACTTTGCCACTCCGTGACAGCAAGCGCCAGTGGTATTTACTGTAAGATGTTCCTCAATCTCTCTCTCACACATCTTGGAATATTAAATATTAGACCCAGAGATCTGGCGTGATGACTCATACACGTTACAAAGTTCATGACTGCATTTTTCAACGAGGCATTTTGATGCCTTTGTTCTAACAATGTGCATTCTTAAACTAAATGTATGAGGAGTGTGTAGAGGAGGAGCCATAAGGGACAGTGTTGAGTTGGATTCATGAAGATTATCTTGAGATGATTTCGGGGCTTAGTGTCCCCGTGGCCCGGTCCTCGACCAGGCCTCCTTTTTTGTTACACATCCC